CCCCCCCAATCTCCCCCACCCCCCTCCCAATCCCTCCCAATCCCCCCCCACTCCCCTCGTAATCCCCTCCCAGTCCCTCTCAGTCTCTCCCAATCCCCTCCCATCCCCTCCCAATCCCCTCTCCAGTGCCTCCCACTCTCTCCCAGTCCCCCCAATCCCCTCCCAGTCTCCCCCATCACTCACCAGTCCCTCCCAGTCCCCTCCCAGTCCCTCTCAATCCCCTCCCAATCCCCCCCACTCCCCTCCCAGTGCCCCCCATCCCTCACCAGTCACGATCCAGTCCGCCCCCATCTCCCCGGCCCCCCTCTCCAGCGCCCTCCTCCTGAGGACCCCGCAGAGGGTGCAGCGGCTCCTCCTCCCGCCCAGCGCCGGCCCCGCCTGGTCCACGGTGACCCCGAAGAGCTCCCGGTGCTCCACCACCACCAGGGGCAGGGGCAGGGCCAGCGCCACGTCCCGCAGGGCCACCAGGGAGGGCTCCCGGTAGCCGGCGATGCCCTCGTCCACCGCCAGCAGCGCCAACCTCAGCCCCAAGCCCTGGGATCGATCCAGCCGGGACAGAACGTGGGCCAGCACCGTGGAATCTTTGCCCCCCGAGGCCGCCACGGCCACCCCCTGCCCGGGTTTGGGGGTCCCCGAGGGGTCCCCCAGCAGGGCCCGGAGGGTCTCAGCCTCGAAGGCGGCGACGAAGCAGCTGCGGCAGAAGGGGAGGAGGGAGCGGGAGCGGAGCAGGGAGGAGGGAGAGGGGCAGCGGGAGCAGCGCGGGGGGGGCATGGTGAGCCTGGAGGGGCGAAAAAGGGGGAAAAAGAGGGAAAAAGGGTCAGGGGGAGGCGGGAATTCCGACAAAAACGGGGATTCCCCTCAAATGGGGGTTTTTGGAGCTAAAACGGGTGGGTTTTGGTCATAAAATGGACCAAAAAATGGGGATTTTTGGTCCTAAAACGGGTGTGGTTTCGGTCCTAAAATGAATAGTTTTGGTTAAAAAACAATGGGTGTTTTTGGTGCTAAAATGGGGGGTGGTTTCAGTCCTAAAATGGATAGTTTTGGTTAAAAAAAATGGGTATTTTTGGTGCTAAAATGGGGGGTGGTTTCGGTCCTAAAATGGACCAAAAAATGGGTATTTTTGGTCTTAAAAATGGGGGGTGGTTTTGGTCCTAAAATGGACTGTTTCGGTTAAAAAAAATGGGTAATTTTGGCCCTAAAATGAGGAGTGGGTTTGGTCCTAAAATGGAGGATGGTTTTGGTCCTAAAATGGACAATTTTGCTTAAAAAAAATGGTTATTTTTGGTTCTAAAATGGGGGGTATTTTTGGTCCTAAAATGGACTAAAAAATGAGTATTTTTGTTCCTAAAATGGATAGTTTTGGTAAAAAAAAAAAAAGGTATTATTGGTACTAAAAGGGACAGCTTCGGTCAAAACACTTCGGTATTTTTGGTTCTAAAGTGGGGAGGGGGGGGGTTTGGTCCAAAAATTGACAGTTTTGGTTAAAAAATAAATGGGTATTTTTGGTCCTAAAATAGGGGGTGGCTTTGGTCCTTAAAGAGACAGTTTTGGTTCAAAATAAATGGGTATTTTTGGTCCTAAAATTGGGGGGGGTCAAAAACCAGGAATTTTTGGACCCAAATGGGTGTTTCCGGGTCCGAAAACGGGAATTTTCAAAAACGTGCAAATTTGGTTAAAAAAAAATAGAAATTTTTAGCCCCCCCAAATGGTTATTTTTACACCCGAAATGGGTGTTTTTGAGACCTAAAATGGTCCTTTTTAGCCAAAAAAATGAGACTTTTTGGCCCCAAAATGTGAATTTTCAGCCCTAAATCGGTAGTTTTGGACCAAAAATGGGTATTTTTGGCCCAAGATGAATGTTTTTAGCCCTGAAATGGACATTTTTAGACCCAAAATCGATACTTTGGATCAAAACACGGGAATTTTCTGCCCCAAATTGGTAATTTTTAGTCAAAAAATGGGTATTTTTAGTCTCAAAACGGGTATTTTGAGACCTAAAATGGGTGGTTTTGGACCTAAAGTGGGTGTTTTGGGCCAAATAATGAGATTTTTTAGCCCCAAAATGGGTATTTTTGGACCTAAAATGGACATTTTTAAACCCAAAGTTGGTATTTTTGGCCAAAAAATGGGAACTTTGGGTCCCAAAATGGTGATTTTTGGATGTAAAATGAGGGAATTTTGAACCTAAAATCTCTCCCCAGAGCCCCCAAAACTCTTCAGGACCCCCCCCAAATCCCCCTCGGAACCCCCCAAATCCCCCTCACCAAAACCCGATTGGTTCCTCCCACCCCCCCAGGACAGAAATGGTCCCTCCCAAACTCCCAAAACCCCCCCAAACACCCCAAATCCCCCCCCGGACCCTCCAACCCCCCCCGGGACACAAATGGT